ATCGCATCCTGTGGGCCTGGCGGTTCAGCCAGTTTCAATTCACCCCACTGTCTGTGCATCTAGCCTGTACTTTGCCAGTTTGTCTTTGAGGGTGTCATGGGAGACAGTGTTCAAAACATTTGTAAGGACAAGAGAAAAAACATCCACTCCTCCCCTCATCTACCCTGCCAGTCACCTGATTGCTGTCAGGTTGACCAGGCATTACTTCCTCTTCCTAAATCCATCCTGACTGCTCCTAAACACCTTCTTGTCCTTCATGTTTTTGGGAATGGTTTCCAGGGTTATTTGCTCCATCTCCTTTCCAGTAATCAAGGTGAGGCTGAGGGACTCATCATGTCTTGGATTCTCCTTCTTGCCTTTATTGAAGAATGACATTGGTTTTCTTCCAGCCTGCAGAAACCTCCCCTGAGCACCGTGATCCTTCAAAGATTATCGAGAGTGGCCTCACAATGCCATGGGCCAGCTTCTCCAGCATTTGTGGGTGCATCCTATCCAGGCCCTTTGACCCATGAATGTCCAGTTTGTCTAAACGGTCTGTAATCTGATCTTATCCACCACAGGTAAAGCTTCCTTGCCACAGGAAGACTTCCTTCCCAGACTTTCCCACTGGTCTCAAATTCCTGGGGACAATTTTGCCAGTAAAGACTGATGTGAAGACCTTCAGTACAAGTTAGCCCCTTCCATGTTGCCAGGTCCCCTGCCCCACTCAGCAGCAGACCCATATTTTCCCTAGTCATCTTTTTGCCGCTGATGTCTCTATAGAAGTCCATCTTTCGCCCTTCATGTCCCTCACTCAGCTCCAAGTGGGTTTTGGAATGTCTAAATTTATCCCTGCATACCCAGACAGTGGCTTTATATTGACGACAGTTCTGTGTTTGTCTGTGTCATCTTATATAGTCTTTTTTCTGTAATAAAGCAAATTAATTTCCCCAGGGCAACCTGGAGGATTTTCTTTAAAATTAGTTTTCTCTTCACATTGTGAGGAAAGAACCGTTTAATATATAGCATTTGATGTCCTGTAAATTTAGCCATAAAGTTCTACTTTTTATCAGTCTTTTTTCTAGGAGTGACATAGGAAAGAAAATAAAAAAGTAATTACAATTATTCAACTGTGTGGAACTACACAGTATCAAATGAAATTATTTAAGATACCAAGTACAGAACATATTAATTCGTGTTAATGCAAAATGATATGTATGGTTCTGAGCTTTGCTCAAAAAAAAAAAAAAAAGAGGATAGAGGGCTTTAAAACCCCACATGTATTAATTTTAAAATTAACAAATAAGTTTGAAGAAAAATGAGACATTATTTGAGTGCTATTTAAAATCATAAATAACAGCCCTCACCTCACCTAATATAGATCAAGAAACTTCACTTATTTTCTAAATCACTGTAACTTCTATTCAAGAAAAATGTCCAGTCTTGAGATAAAGACTGCCATGCTGGAATAAGTACAACATCTGTAGGTGGAAAGTATGCTAAGGAAACTTCCTTTTTGGTTAAGCAAAAATTAATATCCTCAGCCACACCCTGTGCTCAATTCTCACACGTTTACAAACTTCAAGATGTAAAAATACATAATTATTGATAGATGTCAGTAAAATTTTCTGGTTTTAAGACAGAACACCACCACCTTCTTTTGTGCCCTATTTCCCTGATTTATAAAAAGAAGGGAATTCAGACAACATATAGTCATTAAATAATATCAAGAGATGTACTGGGAGCCATGCAGAAGACTCTGTATTCAAGGAGTTAGTGACCTTGAGCAGACTATGTCGGCTACATTGGACCTTGTACTTATGGCTTGAGAAGCCTGTATGTTAGCATAGGTAGCTGCTGCAAGGTTATATGCTGGAATGCCCATAACAGCCTGCACTGCACACTGGTGGGTGTTATGACAGAGAAAACCTTCCAGAAGATTTATGGTTTTCTTTGTTACACAAGATAAAAGCCACCACATTATGGGAGGCAGAGGGAACCTCTCTATTGAGAGAATCTGTGCAGTGTGCCATGGGAAAATCCATCTGGAGTTCACCTGAAGCCACATGAATGTGGGACGCCCAGCATCTGAAGGAACGTAAAATTTACTTGATATCTATATTCCTCTTTTTATTCTATCTTATTAAAGCAGATGTTTTATTACACCAGTTGTTGTTGGGCCTTTTATATTGATATCCAAAAAGAACCCTGCACTGTGCCTCTCTCCCCCACCACCCATCCAGTGCAGAACA